ATCAAATATCGGGTTAAATATCGGTGGGGTGGCCGATGTCCGATATTCAGTTTTAAGGCCGATACCGATAGGGGGCAGATTATATCGTGCATCCCTAAAAAAATGTCTTATCTAGATTTGGATTTTTTACAGTGTATATATTATTTGTCCTAACTTATCTACCCCCCCTCATCCCTTTTTTCCAGATATGCCTAATTAAAATAAAAAGGTTAAACATTAGAACTGAATTTCATCAAAATTGATTTTCATAGATGCCTCCCATCCAATTAAACTGAGCCACAGTTTTTTTTTCAGAGAAGCCAAAAAATGGCACCCTAAAAAACATGCAGATGAAACTGCATTGATTCAAATTCAAACTGTTGCATACTGTGGCTGCAGTAATTTAAGTTTTTTAGGTCTTAGTATGCTTGTCTATAATCTCCTCCTTTAAGAGTAATCCTGCATAAACACTTTTAGAAGGGTAATAAGGCATAGCAGGAGATTGATTGTGAAAGGCTGCCTAGACCCCTTAATACAGTACATCAAAGAAATGTACAAAATGTACCCAAGCATTTGACACTCCCCACAGCATATGCCGATGCAGCTCTGGGCTTGTTTGTGACAAGAGCCAACTCCCCAAAATACTGGCCCCTCGTGCACGTGGCAATATCCACCTCCTCTTCCTCCTCCTCGTCTTTTTTTGTCTTGTGAAAAACAAAAGTGTAAAAATAAGAAAACCAGAACTGAAACACAACACTCCCAGTATGCATTTAAGGCTCGTGCGCCGAGTTGTCGGGTAGAGAAACATTGTGAGGATACAGAAATAAATGAAATGCCCAAAATTACCCGGCTTCTTTTCATGGTGATTCTAACTTGGCCGCTCTCAACGATGTAAAAGCAATCGGCTAAATCACCCTGTTGTAACACAGCAATACAGGTGAGTGGAGTCACATTATGTCAGCGCAGAGCAGAGGATAAAAACAGTAGCTATCATCGCAACGATGAATTACCTGAGCAATAATTTGCTGGGAGTCGTTATACACCCTTGTGGAAAGCACATCTACTACCTTCATTCTCTCTGACACCTGAAACAGAAGTCATCAGTAATTTGACTATGAATTCATGATGTACTTTGTTGAACCCTGTGCTGCAAAGCTGACCTCTAAAGACGTGAGCAGGGGAAGAGTTTCAATGAATGCCTCGTACAGCTTCCTCTTCTTGGCGTTGTTTTTCACTATGATCCTCCTGAACGTCAGACGATCCTGTAACACAGTTTGAAATAAAAAAACTTATCAATTTAGGCAAATTAAAATGAGATTTTCTTAGTTTAACATGTCTAAATGGATTCATTTTTGTGACGTTGTTAAAACTTTTTCTGCTTTTCCCTACAGATTAATGGGTTCTCTCCAGCTTCTCCAGCTTCCTCCCATAATCCACAGTAAATCTAACTTAGGTACCGCTGTAGTTACCAGATCTGCTCGGGGTCCTTCCCTTTCTTATGACGTTATCATATAGCAACTCCAAAAAAAAAATTAAAAGCAATATATTGGACTTTGTTTCCAAGTTTGAAGACGTTTCCCTTCCCATCCCGCTAAGCTTTTTTTAGTTAAAAATGTAAGAATTAGCATTGAGTAAGAGGTTTTATACAATAGCCAAACAAAGCCTTTTTTTTTTTGTTTTAAAAACACGCAAATTTAAACTGACAAAGGGGTCCACCCCTTTGGAGTGGGGGTCGTTTGGCTTCCTTTGTTAAGGGCTGATTATACTCCTCGCAGCAATGTGTCCAACATATTCTCATTATCAGTTCGTATGAAATCGTACGAAAAGTTATGCACAGTATTTTGTACGTTTTTGACGTTTTTTCCTCCAAAAAACAGATCAGTGCGCATGCGCAGCCAAACAGACGAAAAAAGCAGATCCGCGGACGGACGTAAAACTGGGAAAAACAGTGCAATAATTACTTCTTGATGTCTCTCACTAGGTTGCTTGCTGTTTTGTATCTTAGGGTTAGGGTTAATTGTATGTTAAATTCTATGTTATTGAATGGTGCGTAAGATGCGCAAGGATATCTTGTCTCGAGACAAGACGTAAAAATACGGCGAAATACGACAAAAAAAACGTCAAAAACGTACGAAATTACTGTGCACAACTTTTCGTACGATTTCATACGAACTGATAATGAGAATACACTGATGTGTCGCAGTAAGCTTGAGGCAGACATTTTTGATTTATGCTCAATTTTGAGCGTGGTATGCGCTACACGCTGTGCGTCTAGATACGGCCGAGGTGGTGAGGAAGTGGGGACGAGTTTGTCCGACAACGGAGGGACATGGGGGCGAAAAAGAGCGGGGATCCAGGTGGAAAAAGGGTCGCAGCGTTCTCGCTCTTCTATTGGGTCAAACTTTACCAGTCGTTTTCTGCAATTGCGGTCATAAAAACAAAACAATTGTCACCTACAATTTGGGAGAGGTGCAGCATTCCTGTGTCTGCGTAGGGGGCGGGACGTCTTTTTGTTTACTGCGACAGCTACGCAGACGACCTAGTTTCAAAGTATAAATCAGCCTTTAGCCCCATAAGTGTCTGAAAGGAGGGTTGTTAAAGGGAATTGTTGGCCTGGCTGATTAAGTGAGGACCTCCGCTCTCCAGTACAGGGGCTGGGGCTTTGATAACAGCTAGAAGGGATTAACTCAATTGCTGCATTGTAGGTTTTTGAAAGCTGAAAGTCCCCCATTACGGTATTGCGCCTGTTTCTAACTTGGAAACAAAGTCCAGTGGATTGTTTTAATTTTTTTGGAATCACTATGACCTGGATGACTGAGAATCTTCACCAGCATATGGCTCGGACAAACACTACTGCACCCGTTTCTAAGAATCAGATCTCTTTTGACGTCTCAACATATTATTACCTACTATATTTGCTATTATTTTACATTTCATTGCCGAACAAAAGTAGCCGAAAGTAGAAAACAATCATTGTCAGTCTTGAAAGTACTGCGTTCTGTTTTCATTAAGATCTCACAGCAGTGGAGGACAAATGGAACATCTTAAAAAGAATGACTTTCATAGAGATTTTAGACAGAAAACACTACTTGTAGAAAACAAACATTTGTTGTTGACACAAAGTTATCATAAGTAAGTTATTAACTAAGTAATGTTTATTCATATAGCACCTTTCACAGACGTAGAGGTCACAAAGTGCTTCACAAAATTAAAATACAAATAAAATACATTTACAGTCACAAAAAACATGGTCATAAAACAAACCTTAATCTACTTTAATTAAAATGCTTTCTTACACAAATAGGTTTTCAGTTCACTCTTAAAAATGTTATAATAATGTAGCTGAATAATACTAACTGATTGAGCTAAGATAGGCTAACCTATTAGCTACTGAGAAAAGGTAGCCACAGCGCTACATTGCAGTTACTTTGTTCCCCATAAACAGATTATTTTCAATTTTATTATCAATCAGGTAAATCTTCTTAGTTAATTAGACACGCTAAAGCTACAGATGCTCCCCACTCGGCACATGGATGTTATTATCGTTGTCTGGGCAACCACAATGTTTTACATCATGTGAAAACGTGCAGCCAATCATCTAGCGTAACATCACTGGCATGTGCAGGACCCGAGCAGATCTGGTACCTACAGCGGATACAGACCACTCCCCTTTGTCCAGTATCTATGGGTTCAAGTGGATGACTAGAAGTGGATGGATGGAAAATGTGTGCAAATGAAACTATGTTAATAAAGCATTTTAATTATATTTGACCTTCCTTATCATGTGACTCTGTTTGTCCTCGATATTCTACCGACCCTTTAAAACTAGGGCTCCCTGATTTTTCTGGCTGCACCTACTAAACTAAAAAATGGTAATATGCAGTAGGTGTCACAATGACCTTGCTTTTACACAAAAAAATCCCAAAAGCTTTTACTCAAATACTAAAGAGAAAGTTTGCATTGAAACGTATCCAGTGCTTCTGGCATCCATTTGAAAAAAGTTTTCAATTGGTTTTAGATGTCTGATATGTCAAATATTGGATTGAGGAACACTATGTCAACATGCAGTATTGTAAAGTACTTATGGAGGATAAAAAGTGCCAAAATTAAGTAAATAAATACAGCATTAAATAAATAATTAAATGTGTCAATAATGAATTAAATATGGAATTAAATAAATAAATATCTCATTCATTAATTAAAACCACGTCACTAATATAAAATGCCACAATTAAATAAATAAATATAGCGATAAACAATTAAATGTGTAATTCATTAAATAAATAAGGAATTAAATATATAAATGTGTCATTCATTTTATAAAATACATCTTCATTTTATAAAAAAAATAAATCTAATTATTTCAGTGTGCATTTAATTATTTCATGGTCCTGTGTCGCAGTGCATCGAAACTATTAAAAGAATCTGTCAAACTCACCCATCAAAGTTAGGGGGCGGTTATCTAACACCTGATTGGTCACCCTGCACATTAAGGCAAAGCAAATCGATTTCAGAGACTGTGATCCACAGGTTGTGAACATGATACAGTAGGCGGCGACTCAATTCGCGTTAACCCCGCCCCCTAACTTTGATGGGTGAGGTTGACTGATTCTTTTAATGGTTTCGATGCACTGCGACACAGGACCATGAAATAATTAAACGCACACTGAAATAATTAAGAAGACGTATTTTATTAAATTAGTGACACATTTATGTATTTAATTCCTTATTTATTTAATGAATTACACATTTAATCAATTGTTTATCGCTGTATTTATTTATTTAATTGTGGCACTTTATATTAGCGACGTGGTTTTAATTAATGAATGACACATTTATTTATTTAATTCCACATTTAATTAATTATTGACACATTTAATTATTTATTTAATGCTGTATTTATTTATTTATTTAATTTTGGCACTTTTTATCCTCCATAAGTAATATGTGAAAAGCATCATTAGCTGCAGAGGGCGCCCTCTAGCCACGACCTGTGATCCACAGGCCTTAATAAAACGGTTAGCACCAGCGCACGTCACACCCCAAATAACATGTCCCCTGTAATCTTCTGTTTACTGTTTTCAGAGAGACTCTCCGGCACCAACGCTCCTCCCCAGATTAAGCTGGCCGCGTGGAGAAAGATGGAGCGCCTGCTTGTTCACAGATTAAGCTGCACACTCTAAGACTCTCAGGTCAGCAGAGGGTTAGCAGCAACATCCTTCATCTCCCACTGATGATATAACAGAGCTGTTAGCCCCTTTTTAAGGACAGAATCCTTGCTGAGTCATGAATAAGTGGGATGGTTTACATGAAGTGGACGATTTACACCTCAAGCAGCTCCTCTGCTTACAGGAAACTTTACTGTTGTTTAAAAGATATCAGAATACTGATTTCCTCACCCTGTTAAATACATTTTACAACTTTATAATTGATTTTGAGGAAAATCTAAATTTATATCAAGCAGTATAATTAATGTCCTCCTTTATCCCCACACCCACTGTAATTTAGATAGATCAAAGAGGATATTTACATAAAGTAGGTATAAAATATAAGAAAAATCATTATTTTATGTGTCTTTCTCATGGGCAGTGAATCACTCTTCTTTTAGGTCAGTTAGGATTATCGAAAATGTTTCCTTTAAATGCACTAACATTCATATTGGAAAAGTCCAGAACATACTGTCATGGTTTTGCAAACTCCCAATTGGTTAGTTTGAGGAGAATTGCGGCAAACCTGCAAGTAGATGTTGGATGTTAAGGCAATACCATAAACAAAAACTGCTTTGTTGTCTGAGATCATTTAAAATAGAACATTTATCAGGCAGACATTTATGAATCTCCTAAAATCCTGTTCATCCATGAGCACATTCTCAGATGGTTGAATCTGTATTGCTCATTTAAAAACTCATATGCAAGAATGAACACCATGGGCCATAGAACAAGCATAATACTGCTTGGAAAGGAGGGAATTGTGAGGTTTGAGCCCAGATTAAAAGCAAAAGACCTTCTAAACATGCTGGCTAAAATTAGTAAAACAGCGAAATCCTAGAATTTCTAAAAAGTAGAATGGGAGGCAGATCTTTTAGTTATCAGG